GAATGCTCACCTCTAGAGCGCCTCTTCTGAGGCAGGTCATATGGGCTCACCCTAGCCCTGGTGCGTCAGGGAGTCCCCTGCAGCCTCACACAAACTGGACCAAGAGCACCCAACCTTGTTTGAAGCGCTCGCGTGTTGCTTCATCCATCATTTTTTTTTTTTTTTTTGAGACGGGTCTCGCTCTGTTGCCCAGGCTGGAGGTGCAGCTGGCGGATCTCTCTGGGCTCACTCAAAACAGACCAAAAACAACCGAAACAAGCAGAGTCCACTTCCTTCCCACCCAACGAGACACAGACGTGAATGACAGCCAGAACGCGGCAGAGGCGGCTTTCCAAGCCACATGACAGGACCCCGTGTGCACAGGTTTGAACACAGGGACCCCACTGTGGCAGCACCAGGACCAACCCTCCCCGTTCTTGTCCTCCACCGTGCGCCCTGGCCCATCCTCCCTGTCCTCGTCCTCCACGCGTGCCGCACACAAACTGGGTTCACCAGCATTGCTTAAAGCAGATGTTCCACACAAACAGGTCCTCCTGCCCAAGTACCGCCTCCGTGGCAGGGCCTCCAGAATCCTGACCCTTCACCTCACGCTTAGTACAGAGCTCCCAGCATATACAATCGGCTGAGCCAAGCAGCTGCAGAGAGAAGGTCGTCACCAGAAAGCAGTGCTGACCTTCACAGCCCTGGAGGAACAGGGCCACGCCCTGCAGGCTGTCCAGACTGTTCCCTCAAGTTCCCCCAAAACAATCTGTCATTTTTCCAGTCTCAACTCCGAGGAGAAAGAGAGCGTGGGTTTTGTTTCTGGTCCCTGCTGAAGGCCTTGTCAGGACGCACCACACAGACCATGGCGGCCCCTCCAGATGGCACTTGGGTCTCTTTCTGCCGGAGCACAGGAGCCACGGGCCCCGCTGCTCAGGGAGTGTCGCCAGCAGCGCTAGGCTCAATTCAAACAGGAAAGGTGCCGACAATGTCTCAGTCTCGATCCTAGAACCTAAGATTCTATCAGCAGGTTCACCACGTCAGTGTAAAAATAAAGCCCACACGAGGGTGTTTTCTGAGCCACGTCAACAAAGGCCACAAAGGGAGTGCCTGAGCCGGGGATGAGACGATGGCTGGGGCCGCCACGAGGTCAGCCAGGGCCTCAGAGGACAGCAGAGGGGCCGCCTCTGTACTGCAGTGCCCGGAAGCATAGTCCTGGCAGGAGCTTGTGGCTGGGCGGCCACCACACAGCCCCAAAGTGCTGGGATTATAGGCTTGAGCCACCGCGCCCGGCTGGCCTTGTGCTTTTTCTTAGTCATATTTATATTTATCTGACAGGTCAGGAAGCCAGTTGCTTGTGTCACGGACCAGTGCTCAGAAATCATGGAAACGACAGAAACTGCCAGAGCTCTCCACCGCGTGACACAGCACCACAGGGTGACGTGCCTGCTGCAGACACCTGGTCCAGCCAGCCCAAGCCACCCTGTCCTGCACAACCCTGCACCACAGAAGCTGCACTGCCCAGAGGGAATCTCAGGTGCGGCCCTCAGCAAAGCCTGTGGGGACGGCCTCACACCTTCTGGTTGAAGGGCCACCGCAGCAGGGCGTCATTCGGGCCCTTCATCACCACAAAGAAGAGGGACAGGTGTGTTCCTCGCCCGGTGCCGTCGCCGTTCAGGTAGATACGCAGACACATCTTGTAGCCGTACCTGCTGGTGTAGAAGGCTGTGGAGGCAGGAGGGACGCCTGGTAAGCTGACACTCAGCAAGGGTGGGGCAGCGCTCTTCCTGTCTGGCTGCCCTCCCCCAGGGACAAAAACACCCACAAAGAAACATTGAGGTTCTGGGGTGCAAAGGAAGTTTTTTTTCTCAAAGTATGCAGTTAGTTTCCAATGAAAATAAATTTCATTAAAAAAAAAAAGTAGCCGGGCGCGGTGGCTCAAGCCTGTAATCCCAGCACTTTGGGAGGCCGAGACAGGCGGATCACGAGGTCAGGAGATCGACACTATCCTGGCTAACACGGTGAAACCCGGAGGCCCAGCGTCTGGCTGTCATTCCTACCGTCCTGTGTCTCGTTGCGGTGGGAAGGAAAGTTGGCTTCTGCTTGTTTCGGAATTCCTCTACGCGCCGGCCGCCTCTTCTGAAGGCAGGCTTGCGGGCACCCCTAAGCCCCTGGGCCAGTTCAAGGGGCCCCTCCTGCAGCTTGGCCAGGGCCCCAACCTCTGGCATTTGGGTGGCTCTTGCGTGGTTGCTCCTACTCATCTTTTTTTTTTTTTTTTGAGACGGAGTCTCCTTCTGTTGCCCAGCTGGAGTGGCAGTGGCGCGATCCTCCAGGCTCACTGGCAGAGCTCGCCTCCCGGTTTACGCCATTCTCCTCCTCAGGCCTCCCTAAGTAGCTGGGAACTACAAGGCGTTCACCTCACAGGGCCCGCTATTTTTGTATTTTTAGTAGAACAGACAGGGGGTTCCACCGTGGTTGGTCCAGGCATGGTCTGATCATCCTGACCTTGTGAGTCTGCCCACCCCCAGCCTCCCAAAGGGCTGGGATTACAGGCGTGAGCACCACGCCGCCTCTACCTCATCTTCTTAAGTTTTTGGGGGTAATTTGGGATTCTTAAAAATGCTTTTCTGGCGGCATGGTTGGCTCAGAGCTGCTGTAATCCAGCAACTTTGGAAGGCCAAGGCCGGGTGGGATCATGAGGCTTTCAAGAGAATTGAGACCTCCCTGGCTAACACGGTGAACCCCCGTCTGTATTTCTTAAAATAAAACAAAAATTAGCCGGCGCAATGGTGGCAGGTGCCTGTAGTCCGCTTTTCCCACCCGCTAATCGGGAGGCTGAGGCAGGAGAAAATGGCGTGACCCGGGAGGCGGAGCCTTGCAGTGAGCCGAGATTGCGCCTGCACTCCAGCCTGGGAAACGAGCGAACTCTCTGCTCAAAAAAAAATGCTTTTCTGGCCAGGCACGGTGGGCTTCACGCTGTAATCCCAGCACTTTGGGATGGCCACCATGCGTGGTCAACCCGTGAGGTCAGGAGTTGGAGACAGGCCTGACCGACATGGTGAAAATCCTCTTTCTGCTAAATAATACAAAAATTAGCCAGGTGGGTGGTGGCGGCGCCTGTAATCTCAGCTACTCGAAGGCCTGAGGGCAGGAGAATCCTTGATCCCCGCAGTGAGCCGAGATTTGTGGCCTCTTAAGTCTGGGCTAACAAGAAGAGAGACTCCTATTAAAAACAAAAAAAAAACTTTTTCTAATTTTTCTAACCTACAACTTTTTTTTTTTTTTTTTTTTTTTTTGAGCGGAGTACTCGCTCTATTGCCCCAGGCCGGAGTGCAGTGGCCGGTCTGAGCTCACTGTCAAGTCCCGCCTCCGGGTTACGGCATTCCCTGCCTCAGCCTCCCGAGTAGGCAGGGACTAAGGCGCCGCCACCACACACGGAACTAGTTTTTTTTTGTATTTTTTTTTAGTAGAGACACGGGTTT